AGAAGCTGCGCCTGGCCAAGCTGTACCTGGAGGAGCTGCGGCGGCACGGTGAGCGCGGGCGGCGGCGGCGGCGGGGCGGGCGGCGGCGGCGGCGGGGCGGCTCTGAATCCCGCACCTATCGCAGAGGAGGAGCGGGCGGAGGAGGAGGAGGAGGAGGCCGCGGGTTTCCCCGGGGATCTCGTCGGCGAGCGCCTGAAGGAGGCCGTGGTGAGTGGGGGGGACGGCGCGGCGGTGGGGCGGCCTCGGGGCCCTCCCCTTAACCCGCTGTGCTCCCCCAGCTCGAGCAGCAGGGCCGGCTGCGACGCCCCGCGGCCCAGGACGTGAGTATACGTGCGGCCCGTAGGGCATCGCTGCCAGATCGCGGCCGGGACGAGCCGGCGCCGTCCCGCTCACGGCCCGGTCCCGCTAGGTGTGCCCTCCGGCCGCTGCCGCCATCCGAGTGCTGCGGGGCCACCAGCATTCTGTCACCTGCCTCGTCGTCTCTCCGGATGACAAGTTCATCTTTTCGGCTGCTAAGGATGGCTCCGTCATCAAATGCAAGTGCTTCCCTTCTCTTGCCTGCTGCGCTCAGCCTCGCTGCGATGGGGGCCTGGCGGGAGCGGGGCTGTAGGTGGAGGTGGATCTGCCCATCTCTTGCATGGAAGTGGCTGCGGTGCACAAGAGCTGGGCTTGTTCAGCTGGGAGGAGACTTTAGGGAGACCCTGTTGTGGCCACTCAGGATTTAAAGGGAGTTTGTAAACAGGGAGAGCAACTTTTCACATGGGCGGATGGTGATAGGGCATGGCGTTGGTTTTACACTAAAAGAGGAGAAATATGGGCTACACGTGAGGAGGAAATCCTTTTCTCAGAGGATGGTGAGGCCCTGGCACAGCCTGCCCAGAGAAGCTGTGAGTGCCCCTCTCTTGGAGATGCTCACAGCCAGGCTGGATGGGGCTCGGGGCAGCCAGCCCACATCAGGGGAGTAGGAACCAGATGGTCTTTAAGGCTTTTTCTAAGCTGTTCTATGATTGGCCTCTGGGCAGGGCGGGTTGCATCGCTCTGGGCTTTGTGCACAGCTCACAGCTCATTTGTGCTTCCTGGGGCAAGGGAGGCTCCTGTGGGTGATGGTATTGCTTGTCCTGCAGGGGAAGTGGAGAGTGGGAAGAGACTCTGCGTGGTGCCTGGGGGCAAGAAAGGCACAGAGGGGCAGCCCATGGGGCACACGGCTCACGTTCTCTGCATTGCCATCTCATCGGACGGCAAATACCTGGTACGGTGACTGGGTGCTGGTGCTGCCCCACGGTGCCTCACGCTGTCACCAATAGCTCTTGGCTGTTCCCATATAGTCATGAACCTCTGAAAGAGGAGGCCAGGTGGGGAGACGTGTCTTTTTCCAGGATTCTGGAGGACAGCTCCTAACACCCAGCTTATCTTGCTGGTGAAGCTGGGTAGAAGCAGCCCCTGCTTCAGCCATCATCAGGAGTGTTCTTGGACATGCCCCCCCAGCAAAACACACGGAGTGGGAGTTGTGGGTCTGCTGGGGTAGGTGTTGGGCATCCCCTCCTTTCTGCCAGGCTACAGGAGACAGGAACAAGCTGATTCTGATCTGGGAGGCAGCCACCTGCAAGCGTCTTTATACGTTCACTGGTCATCGTGATGCCGTGTCGGTGAGTAAGGATGTTGGCTGAAATGGGGAGGAAGGCTCCCACCTCTGGTGGGCAGTGCATGCCACGTCCTCTTGGTGACCTGGGACCAGTGGGGCCTCCCTGCAGTGGAGGCCCAGCTCTCAGACTGCCCTTGGGGACACTTGGGCAGGGCACTGTTTCATCTGTTGGTCTGTCCCTCCACAGGGCCTGTCTTTCCGGAAGGGCACGTACCAGCTGTACAGTGCATCCCATGACCGCTCCGTCAAGGTCTGGAATGTGGAGGAGAATGCTTATGTGGAGACCCTGTAAGACCCTGGTGGAGAGAGGTTTTGTCACTGTATCCCCAAGCAAAGGGAGGAGGAGTGAGGGTGCGGTGGGGTCGTGGCCCCTGCAGCTCCTTCTCATCTCCCCTGCCAGCTTTGGGCACCAGGACATCATCACAGGGATGGACAGCCTGAGTCGGGAGTGCTGTGTTACCTCAGGGGGACGAGATGGCACTGTGCGTTTCTGGAAGATCCCCGAGGAGTCACAGCTCATTTTCTATGGGCATCAGTAGGTCTGGGGCAGAAGGGTGTGTGCTTCCGCTGGCAGTTCCAGCAAAGCTTCTGTATGTACTCAGCATCACCGGGAGCCTGTCAGTACTGTGGTGATTCTGTCAAGCCTTTTGTGGGGATTTTGTCAAGCCTGGAGCTCTGCACCCTTCAGGATTCCACAATATGCTCATGGTTACTGTTAATTGTCTGCTCTTGCAGGGGCTCCATCGATTGCATCCAGCTCATCAATGAGGAGCACATGGTGTCAGGTGCTGATGATGGGTGAGTGCAGGGCTGGGATTGTGCACAGCTTTGCCAATCCTTGTGCCTCCAGCGCCTTCAGCCCCTTCCCTACAGGTCAGTGGCCCTGTGGGGGCTGGCGAAGAAGAAGCCACTGGCACTGGTGAGGCAGTCGCACGGGACGCAGGGCGCTGCCCAGGACCTGCAGCAGCCGTACTGGGTATCTGCAGTGGCCGCCTTGCTCAACAGTGACCTTGTGGCTACAGGTGCCTGGTGCTGGGAGAGCTGTGTTCTCTCCTGGCAGTGCTTCTGGCAGGTTTGGGGTCCTGTGCTTTTGCTGGTGCTGGAGTGTGTGCCCTCTTTGCTCCAGGTTCCCACAGTGGCTGTGTGAAGTTGTGGAAGTGCGGAGAGGGATTTCAGAAGCTGGAGCCCCTCTGTGATATCCCATTGGTACAGATAGGGGGTGCTGGAGCTGGGGGGAGGCCCTTGCCAAGCTCCCCAGAGTGGGAGCAGGCCTGGGGCAGTTGCAGTGCGCTGGTGCTGACACCTCTGCTATTTCCTCCAGATTGGCTTTGTCAACAGCCTGAAGTTCTCGTCAACGGGAGACTTCCTGGTGGCTGGCATTGGGCAGGAGCACCGGTACCATTCCCAGGCCCCATTTCCCAGGGCTTAGACCTTCACTACTAGCGCCTGGCTGGACCAGGAAGGGATGGAGGTGACCACTCTTTTCACCTGCAGGTTGGGCAGATGGTGGAGAGTAAAAGAAGCCAAGAACTCCATCTGCATCATTCCTCTTAAATGTAGAGCGGGAGCCCCTGGTCCCGTGGCAGCTGATTGCGCGTAGCCTCCAAGCACTACCCCAAGAGCTACAGGAACTGGATCATTAAAGCCTGTGTAATACAGATACAACAGCTCCAGTGTTGTCAGTGCTACTTGGGGCTGCAGGGGTGCACCTACCCCTGCTTAAGGGCCCTGCCTGGATACACACTGTGCCCTTCTTGAGGTTCAGCCAGACCTGGGATCAGGCAGAGAGTGTTATAAAAACAATGAACAAAAATTGCTTACATACGTTACCAGCAACAAACAAAACCCACAATTTTGGGTACAGAAAAAGATCACTTTTAAAAGGGGGTAGGACTTATCTGCTGTGGCCCTGTTCTTCAGCTGTGATCTGAGCCTCTGCACAGGTACTGCTGGGATCAGCAGTGCCCTTAGGCATGGAGCAGGTGTTTGCAGTTGGGCTCTTGTCCTGCTGCCATGGGAGCAGGGATGTAGAGGGGCCTCTGGTTCCCGCTTTCCAGGTTCCCCAGGGATAAGGCAGTGGATGGGATCCTTACAAACCCAGGAGTAAAAATGAGAAGGAAGATGGAGCTGCCAAAGGTGCAGCCCCCTCTGATCAAGGTTGGCTGCAGATGTCTGGGGAAAGTTGATTTGTGGCATGGATCAGCACAAGGGAAATGTGAAATCGGAGAATGCGAAGGAGAAAGTGGTGTGAGGAAGAGCAGTGTGCTCCCAGATTATCTCTGCACGGAGGAGGCAGATGGTGGGACACAGAGCAAGTGCTGCACGGCGGATAAGCATGGCTGACCTGGTTTGCGCAGCCCCCAGGCTTGAGCTGTTGCTTTTTTGGGAGGAGGGGCAGGCAGGCTAGAGCACAACCTTTCCATAGCCATCACAAGGGTGATGATGTGGAGTCTGCTGATTAGTAGCTATTGCACGCTGTTGGCCTGCACTTCAAGGCCAGGCCTGGTGGGGAAGGCAGATGTTAAAAGTGTGGGGGTTCAGCACTTCAGCATAGGGCTTTAGAATTTAAAGCTGGGGCACTGGACTCCCCTGTTTAGGGGCCGCTGGATACCAAAATGATGCTTTGATCCCTCAAAATGGGTATTTGGACCATAAAAGGAGGCTCTGAGCCCTAATTTTCAGGCCTTGTCTGATAGAATGGGGATTAGGGAACTTGAAAGATGGGTCTTTTCTCTTTGGACCCTAAAAAGGTGGCTTTGCTGCTTGGGGCCTAAAAATTAGACATTACAATCTGAGAATGACAGCCTGGGCTGTAGAGCTGTTATCAATCAGTATCAGAGCTGAGTGTAAGCAAAGTGACGACAGCTTTTGGTTCAGCATGGAGTCTCGGGGTCCTGACAGCGAGAGTTTGATCACTAAGAGCTGACGGTCCAGCCGAGCAAAGGATTTGCTATCACAGATAGAGGCTGGAGACCCGAAAGCAAAGTTTGGAATCTGGAAATGAGACATGGTAAAAACCATGGAAAAGAAAGAGCTTCGGGAGCCTGGGAATGGGGTATCTGGACCCTAAAATAGACCTGACGACGCTGAAAAGGATTTTTTGTAACCGAAACGGAGGATCTGTGTCCCGAACAGCAGACTCTGGGAGCTGAGAGCCATGGAATCGCTTCGGTTGGAAAAATTCGCTCACAGCCTGTGGGGCGTCAGGGAGGCTCAGAGCAAGCCGGGACTCACAGACGCTTTACGCTCCCTTAGGCCCCCCATCCCGCTGCCCCGCCCAGCCGCGAGGAGGCGTAGTGGGACCTCCCTGCCGCCGGAGGGCGCTCCACCGCGCGCCTGCAACCGCGCGCAGCTGCGTTACTACGGGGGCCGGAAGGAGCGGAAAACAAACGGCAGCGCGCGGGAGGGCGGCATGGCTGCTGGCGGAGCGGTGAGGGCTCGGGCTGACGCGCTGCCGGTCCGGGAGTTCGGCGTCCGGAGAGCCGCTGAGGCCCGGTCGGAAGCGCTTTGGTGGTGGGCGGGAGCAGCTCTGGTTCCGTGGGGCCTTAGCGCTGCCGAGGCTGGGCTGCGTGACGGGGCAGGGATCGGGTGGCGCTTAGGTGTGAGCGCGGTCAGGAGGCGGGGGCTGCGTGTGTGGGAGCAGGGCTTGGGGGCCGGGGGACCGTTTGGGTGGACCGCTGGAATGTTTTTATTGCGTGAAGATGACTCTTAGTCTGTCTTGTCTGAACATTATTGTTTTCTAGGATGATCCGTCCCTAGAGAGGCATTTCAAAGGCCACAGAGATGCCATCACTAGTGTGGACTTCAGTCTCAATAAGAAACAATTGGGTAAATCATCATCTCTCTGTATTTTGATGGCCTGCTGATTAAAAAAAAAAGGATTTCTCTTCTTAAGTTATATGAAACTATGGAGATCCTGAATTCTAAAAGAATTAAGAATTCATTTTTACAGTGAAAAGATTGGTGAGTGTTGGGACGAGTGTTTTATGTACGACTGGAAGAATTGCAGAAGTGCAGAGTGGTTGAGGTTGGAAGGGACCTGTGGAGTTTGTCGGGTCCAATCTCCTAACTGCTGGGTTCCTGAGAGCACGTTACCCAGGACTGTATACATATGGCTTTTAAGCATCTCCAGGGAGAGATTCCACAGCCTTTCTAGGCAACCTGTTGCAGTGCTGAGTCACCCTCTCTGGGAAGAAGTTCTTCCTCATCTTCATTTGCAACTTCCTATCCGCAAACTTTCTGTTTGTTCCCAGTGCCTCTCGTCCTGTTTTTGAACCAGGGTGACAGGCTGTGAGCGTCCCGTTGGAGCATTAGGAATGTCTGCTGCTGCCTAAAGCTACCTTGCTTTGTGGTGCAGTAATTAAACAATTACAAATAAAAACTGTATTTATTTTTTTTTTTTCTGCTCTGCATAAGTATTTTTCTTCTTCCATCTTCTGTTTCTCCTGGTTTGGCATTTGCCCGTGGTTACACCAAGGCTTGCGTCACAGCTGCTGTTAGTTAACTTGCTGTGTATTCTTGGGTCAGGAACCAGCAGAAGTTTTGGCTCTTGATGAAGCTGTAGTTTGGTCTGTGAGAATGTTGGTTTGGTTCACAAGGAAGATCAGGCAGAAACGGTCTTTGGAGGCAGTGTGTCTGATGGGCTGTGGACACAGACACGAGTAAACAGAAATAAAGCAGTCTAGCAAGTGTTGTAAATTGTCATAGTCCTGTTCTGTGTCTTACAACCTGCAGCACTGTAGTTCTGGAAGACACAAGGAAAGGAAAATCAAACCTGTATTGGACCAATGCTGTCCGTGTTGTTTTCTGCTGTCTTTTTCATCCTGCTCCTGGTATCTTTGATTGTCTGGTCGTATCTGGTCAGTGCAAATCTCTGCTCAGCTGGGATGCTCTGAATGTAACTTACCCTTTACCAACCGGACCTTGAAAGAAGTACTCTTGGTAATTTTAATAAATGTGATTGTGTAAGAAAGGGAATGAGTTCTAAGCATGTTTCTTTTTCAGGCGTCATTGGGTCAATCACGTGTACTTTACTCTTAGGAGATCTTGGAGTTCTTTTTTTCCCACATCCTTTCTTTTTCCACCAAAATCTGCCAACCAACCCTGAAGGACTCGATCTTTCTATTCGATTAAGTCCAGTAAGGATGGTAATTACTGCTAATGAGTTCCAAATGGCATCCTACCAGAACACTAATGACACGTCAGAGCATTATTTTCCTTTTTTTTTTTTTTGTATCAATCCTGTAAAAGCTGAGGTATTTACAATAGATTTTTGGCCAGACAATGTCTTAGTGAAACTGTGATTAAAGTTTAAATCCCTTTCTGCTCAGCCACGTACTCAATCTGCTTTTGTACACTTGTCTCCCTTTAAAACCTTAAGATATTGCTTGAATGAGATACAAAAGCAACAGGCAAATGTGTAAAGTTGTGGGCTTTTGTTTGTTTTTGTGTGTTTCTCCATCAAGAACATGTGTAATCATAGAGCCATTGAGGCTGGAAAAGACCACTATGGTCGTAAAGTCCAGCCGTGAGCCCATCCCCATCCGCTCGCTGACCGCGTCCCTCAGTGCCACATCTCCACAGCTCTGCAGCACCTTCAGGGACGGCTGCCCCACCACCTCCCTGGGCAGCCTGTACCAATGCATTACTGCTCTTGGAAGAAATTCTCCCAAATATCCAACCTGGACCTCCCCTAAAGAAGGTCTGCACATCTGCCAGACTCAGAGCTCAGCACTCTTCTGCCCCATTGCTTGTGCACCAGCACCTGCTTTGCAAGTGACTCTGTATGAAATAAACATATCCTGAACCAGCATCAGAAGAAGATTGTTATTTTTCTGTTTAAGAGGTGGTGAAATGACATTTCTGGCAGAAGCTGTTTATTGTTTTGCCATAATGCTAATGAACTGAAATCTTCTTGTAATTATGATGCTGCCATATTAGGACTTACTGTCAAACTGATCTTTATTCCTAGAGGAATCCTAAGATCTTGGTGCAGGTATGTCCATGTAGCTTTTGGGAAGAGAAAGACACCTTGGCAGGTAAAGACGTGCACACTGTGTACTCACCTGTGGAAAATCTACAAAGTTTTCCATGGTTTAGGTATTGAGGTGCTTTAGGAGGCAGGCTTCATTGGCACAGTCTCTGAGACTTGCTGCCTAGTGTTTTTTCTCTTTGCTAAGTTGATGCTGTTATATATTTACTCTTTACCAATAACCAGGGGCACTGTGTTGCAGACTTTGTGCAGCATGGTGGGCCTCAGGGGGATGAATAGATTTTCAGTTTGCTGAGTTGGCAGTGAGACTGAGGAGGGCAATTGTAGGCTGGAATGAAATTTCTCCATGTAAGCTGCTTGTCTGGTGTTCTTGTCAGGGACAGTTTTCCCTCCCTACATGTGGGGAGGAGCAATGGCTTGTATAAATTTCAGCAGCATGGAGATTTGAGATGTGCTTTTGTCAGGTTGGAGCTGGCCTCTCCTTACAGCCAGCAGTGAGCTGCAGAAGGGAAGCAAGGCAAAGAACAGAGCATTTCTTGAAGACGGGGTCAGTTTTATTTGCTGTGGGTGCCACGTGCACACATCTGAATCCTGCCTCTGATTTGCAGATCTTTTGCTCTTGCTCATGAAGGAAGTCTTAGAAAAACAGCATCTGACTGGGGGCACGAACATTGTTCTTACTATAAGTAAAGCGTTTGTCCCCTGCAGAGTCCCTACAGCCTCTTCTTGTCTTTGGAGCATGCATTTCACCCCTTTTTCAGAAGCCCAGGAATAAAGACAAATTGCAGTTCATGGTGGTTGCTTTTTTTCCCCTCTTTTTTTTTTTTTTTCCTTCTAACTGTTGAGTATAGAAGTAGGCATGAGAATGCTGAGTGGGTATAGATAGGTAGAGGGACCCCTGTCTCCACCCAGAGTCCCTTAGGGCTTTTCATGATTGCCATGAAGCCCACTAACTCCTCCCATTGCAAAATGAGCACTGCTCTAATTTTATTGCAAGCTTGGATTTTTCCTAAGTCCTGAGCTGGGAGCAATCAACATTTTGCTACAAGAAAAGAGCTGGGTGTCAGGGGGATGAAATGTGTATGGGTTGCCTTTAAGTCATAGGTCACAGGGCTTTTCTGCCTAATTGGCAGGGTGCTACTTGATATTCAGACTGCCTCTGTTTCCACTGAAAAAGTGATAAGTTTAGAACTTCTATGCATTTCCTTAGTGTGTGTTTGGCTTTGCAGATTCTGTGGCCTTTTCCTCTGCAGCTCTTGCATTATCTTGGGAGCTGAAATGTCAGTTCAAGCCAATGCAAGGGTATGAATTGCTAATTAAATACAGAGTGTGCAGCGCATCAGTGAAATGTAAAAGTGTGCGTGAAGCTGTTGGAAGCTGTGTTGCCAAATGGAGAAAGTAGCTCCATTTTAATTGGAGGAGAACTAACACGAGTTGCCTTTTTTCTTTTCAACACAGCGAGTGGCTCAATGGATTCATGCCTGATGATCTGGAGTATGAAACCTCAGATGAGAGCCTATCGCCTTGTGGGCCACAAAGATGCAGTGATGTGTGTTCAGTTTTCCCCTTCTGGCCACCTCGTAGCTTCGGGCTCCAGAGACAAAACTGTCTGCTTATGGGTTCCCAGTGCGTAAGTATCTGTTCCCTCTGTGTCTCCTTCTGTGTTTAACTCTGGTGTGGGATTTTTACCTCTTGAAAGCAGTTCTCCAGGTCTGGGACTGAGGAAAGAAAAGTTTCATGCAGCAGCAGCTCAGACAGAGAAGAGGCAATTCAGTCTTGAAATGCCACTGGAAATGAAATGGAAGCCCCTTAAAAAGCTTGAAGTCACTAATGTAGCCCCTTTGTCCCTGCCCTTTTCAGTCTCTTGTAGCAAACCAATCCTTTGCTTCTCTGCCAATCGAAGGCAAGATGCTTAAACTCCAGCTGGAGTATAGTGATGGAGATAATTGTTCTGTCAGCAGGGTGAAGGTCAGTAGCTTTCAAACCTGCTGTAGTCCATCCAATATTAGATCATTTCTAATCTTTATTTCTTGATCTAAACTAGTAACTTTCCTCCACTGACTGTAAATGATGGCATAACACTAAAAGATGATTTTTGGACTGTGTATTGACTGCTTTTTGTGAGCTTTCATGTGATTAGTTAGAATTTACTTACATTTTCAGTACTTTACTTGCTCTTCCCATAAAGATTTCAATTTTTGAGTAGAAGGCTTAGTTCCTTTGAATGGCTGTCCAACCTGTTGGCTTGCCTGGGTTGTCCTGAGTGAAGAGGAATTGTCTTGAGCTGCATATAAAATATTAAATATTGTTAATGTATATAAGCTGCAAAACCTCTTAATTTTTTTTTTTTTTATTAAAGCATTAAAAAGCCAAAAACCATAACTAGCAGGATATTTGGCCTTGTTTTAGTGGAACTAATGCATCAGTCTGGTTCATTGGAAGTGGTTGCAGTTCTTAGTGAGTTCCTAAGGTGTTCAGCAGAGATATTTGATGAGATTTTACTTTTTCTGTGTTTCATCCTTGAAAACAGTTGTTCACAAGGCAGATTGTGCAGCTAGGGACATCTTCCTCTGGTAAGATGGAACTTATAAAGGTTTGGTAAAGAGACATAATCAGATTTCTCTTTCAGATGAATATCTGATGGCAACCCTATACATTCCAATTCAAAATTTGCAGATAATGTATATTATGTCAACTGAAAATGGAATCACAGGTACACAAAAAAATTGATGATTCTTTCAGGCAATCTTGAAACCTGTTCTCAAATTGCTTTATCAAAATGAAAAGCAAGGCTGCATGTTTTTTGCTGTTCACAGGACTGTGTTTAGCCAATGTATCTGTAGTGGAAATGCTCAGTCACAACCTGAAGCAGTGTTTGAGCACCTGGTTGGAAAGCAGGGCCAACCCAGGGGAGCTCAGGTGCAAGCAGTGCAGCTGAGTGACTGGAAGGGGTGGAGCCAGGATTCATCCCTTCCCAGCCCTCATTTAAGGGTTGGCAGTGGAGGTGAGGGCATCTCTTGCTGGAGAGCCCTGCCTCCATGAAACCTTCCAAGGTAGGCAGCTCTTTTCCTTTATTTTTGCATCTATGGCTGCTGCATTTGGGCTTCTTCTCATTTGCTGTAGCCAAGCGTTTTGCCACCCTGCTATCATCATAGATTACAGTATTAAAATACGTAGTTATTAACTGGAGTCAGCCCTGTGCTGTGGCCACCTTGTGCCCTGGTTTCACCCCAGGCAACGTTAATAGCACACCTTAACTCATTTGTCAAGGTCTTGGCAGTCACTGAGAATCTTCATAGCTTCTTTTGTTTTACTGTTATGCATTATTTCATGTGATGTATGAGAACACAAGCAGGAGAGAGCAGAGCTGCTGCTTCAAAACTTAATTTTGCTGCAAGTAAAGCTTTTTGTGGCTGAGATGCAGAAAAGGACCTCCCAGTTTTTCCTCTAGCTTCTTGTGGAATTGTTTTCTTCTTCTTTTCGTGAATGGGCAGACGTATATAAAGAGGTGTTTGAGGTCCCTTTGCTTCTGAGCTTATTGACTGATGTTATTAAAGGTTAATAAGTTGTTTCTAGAACCCAGGAGTGAAGCAGACCTGAAATCTGTGGTAGTAAAATAAAAGGGGTTTAAAAAACAAACGAAACAAATATCTCCCAATTTTAAACCTTCAGGAACCTGCAAAGGCATTTTTAGTTATTTAGGTTTCGTTGCTGGCTATGAAATACCTACTTAAAATTTTTTTGTTGTTGTTGATACATTAAATCATAAGCAGCCTATGTCATGGAGCTGTTAGGTTTTGAAAGTGTCTTTTTAAAAATCTGTCATAATGTTTGCTAGGTTACTATTCTCTGTGTCCCCTGAGCTAAGATAGATTTGTGTCCTCGTTTCCATCCACTCACCAGTCATCACAGGATCGCCGAGGTTGGAGAAGACCTCTGAGATCATCAATATTTCCCACTAAATCATGTCCCTCACTACAACAGCTAAACACTTCTTGAATACCCCCAGGTTTGGTGGCTGCACCACTCCCCTGGCAGCCTGTTCCAGTGCCTGACCACTCTTTTGGAGAAGAAGCATTTCCTAACGTCCAACCTGAATCTCCCCTGGTGCAATGCAAAGCCATTCCCATTTGTCCCATCAGTAGGTACGTGAGAGAAGAGGCTGACCTCACCTCACCACGACCTCCTTTCAGAGAGTTGTAGAGAACAGTGAGGTCTCTCTGTGAGCCTTGTTTTAACCCCTTCCCCCTTCATACCTGGTTTAAAGCCCACACTGTGTGCTCCTGTGCTGGAATCTGTTTTCCCCCTTTGAGACAGATGAGACTCAACTGCAGCCATCGGGCCAGGTGCCAAGCAAACCACCTCATGGTCAAAAAAACCTGCCAAATTCCTGCAATTGCGCCAGCCTCTCAGCTACCAGAGATGGATTTTCCTGGTCCTTTCAGTATCCCTTCCTGCCATGGAAGGGATAGAAGAAAATACAAGCTGTATGCCCGCTCTGTCCTCTAACTACCCCAGTCCCCTGAAGTTCTTTTTGGTAGTCCTCAGGCTTCGGTCAGCAACTCCATCACTGCTGGCCTGAACTGTCAATAATGGATAACAAACAGAGGGGTGAACCAGACAAGGAAGTTTCCTAGAAATAACCCTGACCTGGGTGCTGGGGAGGCAGCACACTTCCCTGGAGGTAGGACTGGGCCAGCACCAACATGTAGGGCCCTCTGATCCTCTCAGCACGGAGTCACCTATGGCAGTCATCCTACTGTCCTTGGTGGAGGCAGTCTTGAGGTGTGGAGTCGACCTTCTCACTCTGGACAGCCTCATGGCTGGACCTCCCACTGCATCCTCACTCACCTCTCCCTCAGGTTCCAGAGCCTCAAACTATTATGTTGGAGCACCTGGGGAGCTGAGGTAGGTTGGGATGAGGGTTGCCTGTGCTGTCAAGCTGGGAAAACAAAAATGAAGGGACTGCCATACTGGAATGATGCACAAAGTGGAGGGAGCAAGTACTGCCTCCAACTCCCATGCCCAACAGTCCACTTAATATAAAGTCCTCTCATAGAGGAAGTATCAGAAATTAAACTGCCAAGATATTAAAAGGCCAAGAAGTGATCATGGCACTCACCTGAAACTGATACCTGAACTCTTGTAAAAATTCCTAGAACTCACTTTGTATTCTGAATGAGTTACATATCTGAGGCAGATGTGTCATTTTCAGTTGACAAAAGTATGACCCCTTCTAGTGTAAATCTCAGTGTATCGTTTAACTGCAGAATTATTACAGTGATTCATAATGATGTAATGACTACATGATAAATACGGGAGAAGTTTAATGCAGTTAAAATTGAATTCGTAGTAAAAAAGAACAAAAATATGCACATTATTTAAATTACAGTTAACTTCAGCTTAGTTAAACTTTCCTGAAGTAAGTGATTGCAGTGGCATGTCAGCCTGTATGTTATTTAGAGACACAAGGTTAATTATGTTTGATAAAATTTTAAACCTTGCAACTCATCATTCTGGAGTAACAGAAGAGACTCAATGTCATTCTGATGTCTCCAGAGCTGTACTGCTTGCTTTTTATAACACTGGAGAGGAATAATAGCATGGAGCAGTTGAGCTAGAAAGGACCTATGAAGATAATTGAGTCTGCTGTCTGACCCCTCCATGCTATTTGTAGCTTTTTGAGACATGCATAATGTTGGCTAGCTTTCAGACAACGGGGGCTTCCCCATGCTTTTGGTAAACTGTTGAGAGGGTGCCAGCTACAACATCCACTGACTGCCTCAGCCAGTTGAATGAATTCCATCAGAGCTGATGGACTTGGGTACCACTGGTCTTACACAGTTTTGGTATAGATGGAAACAGATGGAAAGTCACTGCTCTGCCAGCCACTCACAGGTTTAGGCAGCCCACACTTTATCATTGGTGTTAAAAACAGAGACATAGAAACTCATTAAAGCCTCTGCCTTTTCCTCAGCCTTACTTGTTAGTGACCGTCTTCATCAAGTTTCAATCCTACGTTTTCCTTTCTCTTGCTGTTAATGTACATTAAAGGGTTTTTGTTGTTTTTTTCTTCTAACATACTCTGGCCAAGGTGAGCTTTGGCTTTTCTTGTGTTCTTCCCACAGGTGTGAACCACCGCTTTATCATCTTCCTGTGAAGCCTGACTGTGCTTCTGGAGTTGATATATTTTCTTTTCCTGTGTGCGTTCAGGGAGGAGTTACCTGTGCAGCCATGCTAGCCTTCTACCCTGCTTGCTTGACTCGTGGCACAGTGGGATTGTGTGCTCCTGGGCTTCTAGGCACACCTCAGTCTTCTGGAGAGCCAGTTTCCAAGGGACCCTGCCTGCTATCTCCCTTATCAGCTTGAAGTTTGTTCCCTTAAAGTCCGGGGTGGCAACTCTTCTATCTTCTTGTTACACCAAAAGTTTTGAATTTCATTTTGTGACCGCGGTGGCTGAGAAGGTACCTACAGCCACATCTCCATAAGGCCTTCCCTGTTCTGAAACAACAGACCTAGGAGGGCCTTTCCTAGTTGTCTCTCTCAGCACTTGTCAGAGGACGTTACCTTCACTACGCTCCAGGAATTTCCTACACGTGTTTGTTGCAGCAGTGCAGTGGTTCCAGCTGATGGGAGATTTCAGCTTCCCATACAGAAGGATGATTTGCACAAGCTTGTTATTATTTTCATATAAATAAAAGAGCAGGGGGGTAATGGCAAAACTGAACTTTAGTGATGCTGTCTTAGTAATTTAGGGATGATCTCTGTGGACTAAACTACATCTATGGCTGTCGTGTCAGAAAGGTGCTAGTGTGACAGGCAAATTGTTGGCATATCAGTTGTGAAATATCTTGGTGTGTGATAGCTTTAATATGTGTTTATTTAGGGTTCTTTGTTAGCTTGTTTTCTTTAGACATGACTGAAACGAGGTGTTGAGGTTGAGTCAGGTTTGTGACTTGTTTGCTTACTGCTTGTTGTATAGAATTGTTAAAGGGGAGGGAGAAGCCATAGCTTGGTCTGTTTGTTGGTCAGGACTTTGTTTCTGAAGAATCTGGGGCCTTGTAGTTGCTTTTGAGAAGGATATATTACTAACTGAATGCTACCCTGGTTGAGGATTTTTCCTTTTTTTGGGGGGGGAGGAAGACCATGTTAATGAATTTTACGATTTTGCTTCTCTGCTGTGAAATTTTACCAGATCTGGGAACGTTCTCTGGTTCTGTACAAAAGGAAAACTTCACCAAGAAGAAATCTTTACTGTTCTTTGCCTTCTGACAATTAAAGATTAAATAAAACTTGGAAGCTTTGACCTTTCTGAAGAGGGTGAGGGTGTTGCTGGGAAGCACATAGTGTGATTTTCTGCTTTTCGGTGTCAGTAGTGCCGGGGAGCTCAGCATATGCAACAGAATCCATTTTTCCAGAAGACTCAGAAACATTTCCAGAATGCTGGGCTGCTAAGGAGAATGGGAGTAAAACACGTCTCTGTTCTTTTCATTGCATTTGTGATAGTAAAGAATACATTGTGCATGCATGAGACTCTTACTGAATGTCAGGTAGTTGCCTTCTTGGCTTTACTTGGGTGAGCTGTAGAAACACCTCTGTTTTTACCTGCATTGCAATGAAGGTGCTGGTTAGCAATAGAGAATCCCAGCCACTCCTCTTGTGTTGATGGTTCTGTAAATGTTTTAAATAGTTGCACAAATTAACAACAGCATTTTTGCCCCTTTCTGGGGCAGTATTGCAGTAGAACAACTTGATTTAGCTTTGTGTTCTGTACAGTTTGTTTGGGTTTGGCCAAAGTTTTCTCTCTAGTGTCAAACATAAATTTCCATAGAAATAATGGTTAATAGCACTTCATAGACACACAGAAGCTTCATTACAGTATCTGAAAATACGTCTTTCCTGTGCTGCTCTGCGTGCTGAAATGTTCTTTCCTTCTATATAGCAAAGGAGGATCTACTGTGTTCAAGGCTCACACAGCGACTGTGAGAAGCGTTCATTTCTCCAGCGATGGCCAGTCCTTAGTTACAGCTTCTGATGACAAAACAATCAAAGTGTGGACAGTTCACAGGCAGAAGTTTTTGTTCTCACTCAGCCAACACATAAATTGGGTTCGTTGTGCCAGGTAAGTACAGCGCTCTGGTGGTGGTTTATCCTTCAAAGTAGAAACTGAGCATTGTGGTCTCATATTCAGATGTGTCCAGTGTCTGAAATGTGTTGTTAACCTGCAGAGAGAGGCCTCAAATAGCAGTTGTGTAACCATTTTATATTTCTTTAGTGATCTTTCCCTCCTAGTCCTGTCTTTCACTTTGTATCAGTCATGAGTTCCATATCTTGAATTTACCAACAGAGGTAAAAGAAGGATTATAATATAATTGGTTTTGCAGCTTGGTTGCCTTCAGTCTTGTCATGCATCTATTCAAAAAGGGTCATGGGTGCCTCATCATTAGCACTTGGTTAAGGAGAATACTTAGAATGACACAATAATAACCTCCAAGCATTTTGGTGCTTTGTGTTACTCGTTTCACACATGCAGAGAGTTCAGCTGATGATCTTTGCTTTTTCTGTGATAACAAGCAGGTGCACAGAATGCTGAAAGGGCTGCCGTTACGAGATCATCATTTCCTTGTTACTGCCTCAAAAAGCCAGTTTTCAGTGATCTGTCATAGTTCTGAGGAATTTTGATGTGTGTATGTATTTAGGATAAAGCTGCAGATTTGTGTAAGTGTGATAATTTCAGTAGATGCTTTCATGGTGGCAGTGGTGGCATGGTGACCTGTAATACTATAGATGCCCACAGCAGAGTAGGTGGGATGTGTTTTCTGCCATGCACGATGTTCTTCACTTAGATTCAAGTCCTGATCCTGTATTATATCTGCCTCTGAAGCTGTGTGTTAATCTCTTTTATATTAAGCTCCCATCTAAAAATTTTACATACGTTCATTTGATGCATGAGAATGATGAAGCTTCTCCTCTAAGAGCTGTTATCTTGGAAGTAATTACGTTGCTGTGAATAGTTGTGGCAAAAGTAGGAATTGGTTTGAATCATGATAGAGAAACAACTTGAGATACATTTGAAACAAATAGGACAGGGGACCTTAAGTCAGACTGAAGACTTGCCTGGAGATGATGGAATGCACTTCTGGCATTGGGGATAGTTCGAGGGCTTACAGGTTGCTTTTTTCCCCCCAACTTCTGACAATTGGATTTTCATTCTAACTAATGTCAGTGTGGCTTCCTGAAGGATGAAATGTGTTTACAGACTGACAAAGCTGGCCGAGTCCAGTTGATCCTGGACACCTTTAATTTTGATACACTTTTAATTACCATAACTGTTCTCCTAGATTCTCTCCTGATGGACGACTAATAGCATCAGCCAGCGATGATAAAACTGTCAAACTGTGGGATAAAACTAGCAGAGAATGTATACATTCCTTTTGTGAGCATGGGGGGTAAGTACTGCCAGGGTGTAAGGACTGGCCTGTTGTGATTGTTGAAGTGGGGATGTGATGGATGTTCATCTGTTTTTGTTACTGCAGCTGGAGATTCCTCCCCTGGAAATAATTTGCACCTCTTAGGAAAACATGAGTGCCTATTACAGAAGGCAGCCAGAAAACAAAATGCAAAAAGAGCATCCAGAATTGCTCTGATCTTGTCCTAAGTTGAAGTGAACTGAAAGGAGAAATGCTTTGGGTGCTTTGTTGCATCCTCAGAGTGACAAAGAGTTACTCAAAAAAAGTTTCTTTTTTTTTTAGTTGTCAATTGAGGAGATTTTGTTTCATGCAAGCTGTTGGCTGCACCAAAAATTAATTTGTCAAGAAATACAAAATGAGCCCTCGGAGTACTGAGATGGGCCTGTTCCCAGCTTCTCAAGGGTCATTAATTTTACCCAATTTTGTGCAAGATGTTCTTCACTAAAATTTTTTTACTGTAGTTTTGTGTTTAAAAAAAAAAATAAATAAAAGAGAGAGAGAGAAAAATGATTGCAGACAAGTCCAGAAAGGAAGCTGGTCTCTACTCCACTGTCGTGTGAGTAGCAGCATGGGATTTGAGGCAGAAATTCAATTCATTTCTATCTTTAAAATTGTTTAAGACTAATAATGGAAAAATACAAAATCTGTGTTCATTTTTGTATGTACTGATCTAGAAATACTGCTAAATTAGTAAAGGGCAGATATTATGTAGACATTTACACTTCAAAATGTTCTATGGTCAGATCCATGACATTTCAGGAGGTTCTTAACACCTGCAGCTCCTAACACAGCAGTGATGAAGAGCTTTGGGGGCAGTTATTTTGAGCTATGGTCTTGCAATCTGCTTAGGTTTATGAGCTTGGTCCTAATGGAAATTTGCCAGTATAAAATTTCAATTTATTTCCTCCTTTCCACAATGTTCACTGATTGTGATGTAGTTTTCTTTCCTGAAAAGCCAACTTCTTGATCTCAACCAAAGCTGAATATAAACAGTTGGATTTAACTGCAATTTGCAGGTTTGCAAATCACGTGGAGTTTCATGGCAGTGGTACGTGCATTGCTGCAGCTGGTACAGATAACACAGTGAAGGTGTGGGATGTTAGGATGAACAGACTCCTCCAACATTATCAAGGCAAGTTAAGATCTTTGAACAACCTGACCTGTCCGTGTTTTGGTGTGGGTTGTCTGGAGTTCCAGGAATGTCTGTCTTGCTGTTTTTGCAGGAAGGTTGTGGCTTAGGCCCACAAGGGGAAGCCTTTCCTTACCAGCCTCCTGCTTTGCTTTCTTCTAGCTCAGAGATTAATTCTTGGCTATTGATAAGAAATGCTTTTGTTCTGGTTTCACTTTGCTCACCAATGGAAAGGGGAAAAAAAGCCCTGAATTGGAACTGTCCCATGTTGGAGGTGTGCTTTGGTGATACCTGCTGTGCCACTTCGCTTCTGTTTACTTCAGGAAATGATGTGCAGTACAAAAGATGTGGCATTTGCCACCAAATTAAAAACAAAAAGAGTAGCTTAAGTTCGTTTATCCTTGGAGCAGCTTAGCTTTATAGTTAGGAGGCTGTATTTAATGGTTTGGTTTTTTTTCACCCTTACTTTCAAAACTACCTATTCCTGTCAGATGGATTAGTGCTGTTATTTGGTAGAACTGTGTACTGATAGCAGACCTCCCCCATCCCTACAAGCTTCTTTGAGCTTATTTTACTGTTCTGTGCATATTAATTGAGCCTAAATTTGGCTGCTCTTCCTTTACCGTTGCTGATTTGGCAAAAAGAGGTTGGTGAGAAGAAGGAGCAATCCCCAAATTTTGGAAGCCTTCAGTAATTTTCTGTGTATAGTGGGCTGTTCTGCTCTTTGTATTTTGATCACATAATCTGACTGTTGTGCACTGAATGTGACATCATCATCACTGATGGTTTTCTTCTTGGGTTAAAATTACACACGTGTGTGTACACATATACATGAACGCACATGCACACATAAATGTGTGTGCATACACAGTATTCCTCCACCTGGATTATGTTTTGTCTTGGCTTCTAAGTTTAAGCTCACATTTCCAACTGTGTTGTTTTTTCTTTGTGTGCAAACAGCATTTGAACTGTTCAAATTTTAAACTGTCTGAGCATCTCAAACTCTCATCCAAGGTTATTTGTGTGTTACTTATTCCCGTGGTTGTTACTGACTCACAATCACTTCTGGTTCTGATAGTTAACAATCTCATGGAATAGAGCCTTTTGAGGATTGTTGTTCCAAATCATTGTCATCATACCAGCTACATCATCAGCGCTGAATGCTGATATTCATCTTTCTTATGCATCGTTTTTGCTGTGCTGCTCCTGTTGTGAACCTTACCATAACTTGGCAGTGCCTTTCTGAAGTCTTGCTGCTAACACAGGCAGCAACTTTAAGTACCTCAGTGGTGTCAGGTTGTCCTGTAACCTACTTTATCAGCTTTTCAACAGTGACAAGACTTGCAGTGCTTTTTTCCAGCCACCGTATCCTTTGGCTCAAAAAATGGTCCTTCCTGCTTTCCCCTTACTGCAGTTAAATTGTCTGAGTGTAATGTGGTTTAGGTTCAACTGCCAGGTTCACTTTTGTCTTGGAGTTGTGTACTTTGCCTGTTTCCTACCCTTACTAAATAGCATTTTTGGCTGATGCTCTTTCTGTTGAAGAGATCTTTTCCTGTTATGAATGTTTTTTTAGCAGCTACTGTGCAAGTCCTCATAATGAATTAAATTTTGAGCTTAAACTTGTGAAAGCAAAGAAACGTACAAGTGCTGTTGGCTGTCACTTCATCCCCCGATGCGAGTGCTTCAAACTGATGCGTTCATGAGTTTGTGAATTCTGCTCTGCGAGGGGTTTCACACGCACCTTCTGGCTAAACCTGACTCAGTTTTGTGGCTTTCCCAGGTGGAGCTGCCCGCCCAGTCCCACTAGGGGGAGTCTCTTTCCTTTGTGTGTGCTTAAGCTGCCTGATTTCAGGGGAATCCATTTTAAATACGCGGTTGCACTGAGGACTTAATGGCTCAGCAGCCCTGCCGCAGACTCTTACGTGTTGAAGTCTGGTTGTTTTCCAGAAGGGGTAAGTCGTTTAGCTGTGCTGCTCCTGTTGCCAGGCCTTGTTCCAACTATAACATTTGCAAAGGAAAATTGGATGTGGAGTGCAGACTGCAAAACTTCCTGCATGGTGTGTGTTTAGAAAAGTAAAGGTGCTCCGGTCCCATTTGCTGCTCAGAAAAGTAAACAGATGCTTCACTCACTTGCCTAGGTAGCGCTAACTCTCTTCATACAGCAGGTCAACCCCTAATTAAAATGGTCAGTATTTATTACCTGCAGGCTTTTTTTCCGTATGAAGGTGTGTGCAGGGCATTTCAGTTGCACGCCTGTGCAAACAGCCTTAACCTAGTTATTCATGGCTGGTTCAGAAGAGCTCTTGGGACACGTCTGCACTCCAGACAGAGCTGTGTGGTGGATAGCAGCTTCTGGGCTTGTGGCTGTGGCAAGTGCTCACTGGGGTTTTTTTTGCCTGCTTGTCGCTACTTCTGTGTATTCAGTCCTGCATGGTGGAGTGACTCAGTGCTCAGCAGCTCACCTGTAAATGCAGTGATTGAGCAGGACATCCGTTGCTGAACTGGAAGTTAGTTTTCTCAGGCTCTGATAGCTAGAGTCACCTTGTAGCAGCACGGCTGTGGGAGATGCCAGCTTGTGCTGCACCCCACATATTGGTTACAGTGTGAAATTGCTGTGTTGGCCAGCTTCTGGGGAAGCTGTTGTGAATGCTTTTTTGGGAGGTATGAGTTGGTGTGGCAGAAGAAAGATGCGGCTTTCCCTGAGCTTAGGCAGACAAGAGCTGCTTAGGCAAGAAGCTGTGACTGCCTCCATGGGCACAGCCTGTGTTACTTCTTTCCATGATGAAAAGTTTTTTTCACAAACCTGGAAATACTGCATTGACTCTCTGGAACTCCAAGGTTATGTCATTCGTTTCATCTCTTTCTAATTTGGTTCCAGTTAGGACTTGCTTTTGTTGACATAATATGTGCTTGCTTGTATCTGAATATAGGCAGTGAAGGGCCGAGGGATATTAGAAATTCCTCAGAATAAAATTTTCCAAGGAAACATGTATTTAGTGTTCTTCTAGAAGCTAAAATTCCACATACGCTTTTTGTCCAGCCTGACATCATAAGAGTCAAGAGGAAGATGTAGCTGTCTGTTGCAGATGGTGTTCACCTACGAGAAAAACTGTGGAGAAGTTACCAGTCTTGTGTTAAGATGCTTTTTATCGGTGTGTTTTTTCAGTCATGCAGCTCAAGAGGAACTGTGTTGTAAGGACTCAAGCTGAGTTAGCTGTGTTTGAGACTTTGAAAAGCATATACATTCAGCTTCACAGTTGAGTGAGATTTTCTTTGGATTCCTTCTTCACATTCACACGTAGGTGTGAAAGAATTGATGCTAGTGTCTGGAATTGCATTTTACTTGTTCATTTTTAACAGGCAGTTTAGATTTGTCATGTACATCAGACTGCTGAGGGAGCATAGGTTTAGTTTGGAGGTGTTGAGAGGGGGTTGTATCAGTAGTAATAGTTTCAAGATAGAATATCGTAGAGCAGTTGGTGTAATTAAGAACAGTTGGATGGTTAAAATTCTCTTCAAGCATAGTCTTACTGTTGTACATCACGTATGTTTAGAAAGCAATGGAGAAATGTCTTGTAAATATATATATCCACAATAGTTCATTTTGTAAAAGGCTGGGGGGAAGGAAGTTCTGCATTACTGCAACATCAGGCATCTGCCTCATACAGAAGTGTTTTTTCGTAGAGCATTTTCCTTAGCTCTCTTCAGAACGACTCTCAGGTTTCAAGTTTGTTCAAAAAGGGCTGCTTTATTGAGTCGTAGAATTGTAGCGGCACCAGGGTTGGGCAGGATGGTACTCCTAACAGTTTGTCTACTCACTCTGGTTATTTTAATTTTTTCTGTGGTAGGGAATTGGATGGCTGAAGAAGTCATGTTTGTATTGGACCGTTTTCAATTGGGTTGGTTCTTTTTTCCTAGTTCTTGCTAAACCTAGCATTGGTTAGAGTCAGGGAGTAAATAAAGAATGATAATTACAAACAAAAGCAACCAAACGAACACTCCTGCACAATACCAATGTGAAGCTTGTGTTTCATAGGAATTTTAGCCTTCATTAATATATAAGCTTATAGATTCTATTCCAGAATTACTCGGGAACAAGAACAGCAGCTCCCCTGTGGTCAGATATGTCAGTGTCCCTGTGTGTCACAGAACTGTATAACTCACTTGTGAATATAGTTACATTATAGGACTACACTGGAAGCTTTTATAGTCTTAAATCTCAGAATAATTGGCAAAGTTTCCTTTTTCCTCTCAGTGAAGTAGTGGCTGTTTTTACAAGAATTGAATGCTGCCCTTGTTCTCCAGTGCTTTGAGGAGTTTGGTGGAATGTTTTCCCCTTGACAGTTTTCCTATTAAACTTTGTAACAGACATTGGAATGCGCATGTACTTTATTTTCTTCTTTTGCCTCGGGCTGATGTAAACTGGTCTCGGTGATCATTGTATGCATCTTTTACATCCTTAGTGCACTCTGCTGCGGTGAACAGTCTGTCCTTTCACCCCTCTGGAAATTACCTGATTACTGCTTCCAACGATTCAACTCTCAAAATTCTGGACTTGCTTGAAGGAAGACTTCTGTATACTCTTCATGGTCACCAGGTGAGGAAAAGCCTTCTGTGTGAAAGCATGGAAACATGCAACTCGCTGGGCAAATCTGTGCTCAAGCCTTGCATTGTTTGTGGCCAAAAGTCTTTGGAAAACTTCCTTGCTTATTAAAATAATAATGATGATAATAATGAAAACCTTTGAGATCATCACTGTTTTGGAGGGAAGGCGTAAGGGAGGTAAGATGGGAGCAGACAGAATAGATGATGACAAAGCAGGATGGTCTGAGTGCTCAGATTCTGAGCGTGAAGCCTAAGGCCCAAGGGACATCACCAGTGCTGTGCTTCAGCTCTAACACTGCTGTGCAGTCTGTGTTCTGCAGATCAGACCCCATCCCTCTCTCTAAAGAGGTGCAAACAGCACTTGGCCTTCTGACCTGAGTGAAGATATATGCTGTTTGCCTGACAGTAGGTGTGAAACGGAGGAAATTACATTTTGAGATGTCATTTGGGCACGTTTCCATTTTGTTAACTGACTGAATTAAATAATTGAAGGTGATAAATACTGCCAGCTGGTTAGGCTGATTGAACTGTTAGTGTTATGCTGCCGGACATGTTCCTTGTGAAGTTAATTGTTATATGAAAGCTTGGAGCTCTCATTTTAAATACATTGATTAATTTTATTGTCTGTTCCCATTGGGGCTCAAAGGCACAAATAAGCAAATGTGTTTTAAGAATTCATTTACTGAAGGGACAAAACAAATTCCTAACCCACTTGTCTCTTTGTTACATCGAGGCTGAGTTTTGAAGCATCAAAACTATCTGAGTAAAATCATGAGCCCTGAAGCTGCTGGATTGATTCTGGGCAATAGCAACATCTGTGTAAGCTGAGGAACTGATCCTTCTGGTTTCTTGTGGCTTTATGCCTTGTGATTGCTTTATCTGATATCTAAAAATCCTTGAATTCATTCAGCAACTTCTCCTTAACTTTTGTTAGTAAACTTTTCTCCTTTTTGTGGTATTAGTGAGTAAATACAACAAGTTTGTACTTGAAGTTCTGCCTCATGGAAAGATCTGATTTTAAACTCCCTTGGTCAGTTTTTATGCTGAAAGGAATGGAACAAAGATTTGGAGAAAAGATAACAAATGCTGCATATCTCAAGACATAAACTTCAACTGCGTAAAACTTTCTTTGGAAAGTGGTGAGTGGGTGCTAATGTCAGATAGGACTTCAAAGCTTTTGCCTATTGTTCTAATCTGATTTTCGTATTGGTCTCTTTTGTTGGTGAAGCAGAAGCTTAGGAAGTAGTTTCCTGAAAAGGGTCAGTGTGGAGGGAGAGTGGATCTTTGTGCCTTTTATACTTCTCCTAGGAAGCAATGTGGATGGTTATTGTTTGTTTGGAAGCTGAACCTGCTTTCTACTCCCTCCTCCTTTCTGAAATGTAGGCAGTTTAGCTTTGAATGAGAATTCAACGTGGGTTATTGCCAACCAGGTCCTCAGAATGAGGTAATGGAAAGACCCTCTAGACCGGTGCAGTACTGAAGTCAGGGTTCCTACAAAACAATTGTTTCTTAAATCATCTATTCAGATGTGGGGTTAAAGCCCCTTGATTTTTTTTTATTTTTTCCCCTGTTGTTTCAGATCCCTCAGATAACAGCCATCACTCTCTCCTAGCCATCTAACTGGTGTTGGAAAGGCTTTGACAGCAGCACAGCTAGCTGCTGTTGTGGGGTTGTACCTCTTCCATTTTGGAAACAAGCAGAAGTATAAAAGTGGCAGACAGTGCTTTCTGATCTCAATGTAATACCCTTAAAAGAAGCTGAAATAGAAATAGAACCAATCCTGGCATAATCCTGAGTTGGCTTTCACTCTGCTGATTACTATTGTGAGGTTTTTAATTTGTGATTTTAATTTGTGATTCGGCAGATGTGTCTTACTTTTTCACTTAACAAGCATAATAACCTGTTCTTTGTTCCCAGTGTTGGTGTAATAAATGTGGATTTTTTTGATTCTCAGGGCCTTTTTCCTCCAGTCTCACTGTGATTTCTGCCTGCATCTCTAAAAATGAAGTGGGTGTGGATTTTTGTTGTTCTTCATTGAGTAGATGTGCTTTTCCAAGGGAGGGCTGTAGGTTAATCACCAAATGAACAGCCTGTTCTGAAGACATTCTTGAGCTGTGACTGTGTGGGTGACTGTGTTGGTCCTCAGTTCTTATTCTGGCAGCTGACTGCTGCTGTGTTGTTCTGGGGAGGCTGTGTGTACGTGGACACTTGCAGGGCAATGCCTTGATGTCCTTTTTGTGTACTTTGACGCAACTGTTGGAGTGCTGGGAATTTGTTACCAGCTGATTAGCTGTAGTTTACATGGGGAGGACAGCATTGCTGTCTCTTAAAGTTGTGATGGAGCTGGCCCTGTTGTAACAGAAGGATCATTAGAGGCAGAATTTTGCAGCTTGGAGCCAGCATCTTGCAGCTGTGAGATACCATCCTGTTCTGTTCTGCATATTTCCATTCTAGCGTGCTTCAAGCTGTAAAGTCCTATTGCCTGAACTCATACGGATGAGACACTGGGTTGGTATGTAAGTCCATCTCTGGCACTGAATCATCACGGAGGAACACAATGTTTTGGAGCATCTAGGTAGTTGCTAGAGAGTAGCAGGTTGTAGAGCATTTCCAGACAGCTTCTGTAGTGGCATAAATATTCCTTGTAAATATTTAGGAAATGGGGCTTGGTTGTATGTACAAATAGGAGGCCAGAAAATAAATTCTCCAAGCGACTTGAACAACCAAATAGCTGCATTCCACCTGCCTGGGTGGCATGAGTGCTCTCGGCTTTCCTGGTTGACTTTAAGAGCAAAATTTTCTGAGCAGTGCTCAGGAAATGAACATGCTGCTTAACTACCAGCTCTTGGTAGCTGGCATTAAGCGTCCATGCAGGCCTTGCCATCCCTGGAGGGTGCAAAGACATTCAGGGTTGCAGAGAAGTGGATCAACCCGGGGAGAGAGAGGGGTTATGCATTATGATAAGCATTTGGCTTTTGATAAGCATTTCTGAATATTGAAAGGAAACAAGTGCTCTGTTCTTCCCTTGCTTGTGCTTTCTGTTGGTGGTTTGTTGCTTTTTAAACTGGAGCTTTCAGGAATCTAAATAAAAGATATTAATATCTAAAAGATATTAATTACAAGGTGCCAGTATGTTAGGGAAGCAGAGCAGATTTCCCCTGTGCTAAGCTGTAACACACCTTACTCTATGCTGGGAAGGGGCAGGCTTGGCTTTCTCACTCAGTGTAGCTGGGAAAGGCTCTTTAAAACTCAGTCCATTGAAAATTATTACAACTGGGGGCATTTAGCATGAAAACATGCCATTTACCTTTAACACCTCAATCCTATGTGCTTTTCCTAATTTCTCTTTCCCTTTCTCTTCCTTTTACTTTCACTATCACTGTGTAGTTTTTAAGAATCCAGTGGTTTGTGTTGCAAGGATAGGCAATACAGATGCCACTTGAAACTGGTTTCTCACTCAAGAAAGGTAGCAGTCACAATCTGGTAACAAAGGAGCCACTTACCTGTTTCAGGGCTTGTGAAACATTCCAAAGGAGGCAGTGTCCAAGTAGAGATGCTTGCCTTGCAGCAGCCAGCCCTTACACGAGGTTCAGGGAGCTTGGGGGCTGCCATCTGTGCTTCCAGAGCTGGCTGTGCCCCATCAACAGGTGTTCCATCCCTGGTTCAGGCTGTGACCCAGCAGTTCCTGTGCACTCAAGCCCTTCATGGTATGAACCAGCGATTGAGTGTATCAGGGTCAAACTGTCCTTTACAGTGTAGCACATAATTGCGGTCCCAGCAGAGATACAGTTTGCTGTGACACTGTGTTATAAGTTCATGGGCTCAGTTTTTTCTATGAAGAGGCTGCTGTTTTCAGTTTTCTGTCCTTCTGGCTTGTTTGGCAAAAGATGTTCAAAAAGTCCGTCGTTAAATGTCACTGAAGAAGGCAATGTCATGTAATTCTTCAGTTACACCCCACCTCCTGCTGCTTCTGCCTCTGTCAGTCATCTCAGGGGAGCTGAAGAGGCGTTCAGTGGATGCTAGGAGATGCAGACCTGTCCTCTATGGCAGACCACGTGCTGTATTCCTGTACTGCATAAGTCTCTGCTTGGACAGGGGCACGTCAAGGCCTTTTATACCACATCCTCTGGCTGATGGTTGGATAATTACCTCAGGTACCAAAGGAGGATTCTGATCTCGGAGAGATATAACAAGGGTCCCCTTCGTGGTGAAAATTGGGGTGTGTATCATAATTTCTGATGGCCATATGCCAGTTACTGGTGATGTTACCGTTCCTCTTCCTTCTAATATTCTTCCCTGTGGTGCGAGTAGTCCACATCAATTTGGCCCTACTTGCACTTCCTGAGACCAGCTTACCTTGTGGGTTCCAGGTTCTAAGGGGCAGGGACCAGAAGGTTATTTATCATTCCAGCTTGGGGTTTCAGTCACTGTCAATGATTTAAGGGCTGGTTTGGCCCAATTCTGTGACTGGCAGGGTGGAGGGATTCACAAATCCGTGCTTGCGGGAAGGGGAAACGGGACCCCAAAAAATTAAAAACAGCGGCAACAATCTGAGGAGAAACAAACTGATTCACTAAACATGGAATTGGGATGCAAGATAACAAGCACTATAATACAATATAATTAGAATTGAAGGTAATGAATCAGATCTAATGAGAGAAAGAGTAAAAAGCTGTAGGCCTTACACTAGTGCTGCAGTGATGCATGCGGTCGGGACAAGCAGCAGTGAGGAGAGCCAGAGGAAAAAAGAAAGGGACATCAGGTGACCTTGCCAGGAGTTATAGCTCCTCTCTGACCACAGAGCCCCCTGGGGTATGTAGTTCTTCTCTTCCAGACAGGTGCCTGGAACTGGAGCATTAACACTTTAGCTCCCAGAGCACTACATGATGCTATGATGTGGAATAGCAATAACCAAAAACCATAAAACCACAACTGTCATATATCACTGCCCTTAGTTTGGATCCTAAGCTGTTTGTAACATATCCAAGGTGC